TACCCATAGAAAGTCGCTGGTGCTAATCCCCAGCCGAATGTTGTTGAAAATTGTCGAGTCCTCAAGGCACTAACCTTGTCCTGTACGTTGGATAAGAGCGTCTGTAATACCAATTTTATTTTTTTTTTAGGAGTGGGACAAAATCCCTCCTGATATGTGTGCAAACCTGGTGGCCAACTACAGAAATGTCTGACCTCTGTGATTGCCAACAAGGGTTTTGCCACCCACCAAGTACTAAGTCATGTTTTGCAGAGGGGTCAAATACTTATTTCCCTCATTAAAATGCAAATCAATTTATAACATTTTTGACATGCGTTTTTCTGGATTTTTTTGTTGTTATTCTGTCTCTCACTGTTCAAATAAACCTACCATTAAAAGTATAGACTGATCATGTCTTTGTCAGTGGGCAAACGTACAAAATCAGCAGGGAATCAAATACTTTTTTCCCTCACTGTAGGTCATTGCAAGTTGTCCGTGCTCCACAGTCAATAATAGACCAAAAAACGGGTGTGGGCGCTTCTCTACAGAATACACCAGTAGTTATAATACAACAGGCCCAGAGAAGTAGTGTTCTTACCCAGGGGCGGACTGGGACAAGAATTTTGCCCTGGCATTTTATCCACACCAGCCCACATCACTGCGCCCCACCATAATTGGATGTGCAACCTAATCCAGTGATTGTCATGCATTTTGGGTTGACAATTAGACTATAGTTGCTGTATTTTACCAACTAATACAGTTGATGTCGGAAGTTTACATACACTTAGGTTGGAGTCATTAAAAGTCACAGTGGGTCAGCAGTTTACATACACTAAGTTGACTGTACCTTTAAACAGCTTGGAAAATTCCAGAAAATGATGTCATGGCTTTAGAAGCTTCTGATAGGCTAATTGACATCATTTGAGTCAATTGGAGGTGTACCTGTGGATGTATTTCAAGGCCTACCTTCAAACTCAGTGCCTCTTTGCTTGACATCATGGGAAAATCAAAAGAAATCAGCCAAGACCTCAGAAAGAAAATTGATAGAGTGGATAATCATTGTGATCGGAGGATAGCTGTGAGGGTTATCGAATCAGGATCTCCTCGTGCTAATTAATGAGAGAATGTTCATATTTGAAGATGGCAGAAAGGCCAGTCTCTTTGGCAATGACAAGGAGTGGTATGTTAGCTATAAACTGAGTGTATAAAACATTAGGAACACCTTCCTAATATTAAGTTGCACCCCCTTTTTCCCTCAAAACAGCATCAATTCGTCGGGGCATGGACTCTCCAAGGTGTCGAAAGCGTTCCACAGGGATGCTGGCCCATGTTGACTCCAATGTTTCCCACAGTCGTGTCAAGTTGGCTGGATGTCCTTTGGGTGGTGGACCATTCTTGATACACACGGGAAACTATTGAGCGTGAAAAACCCAGCAGCGTTGCAATTCTTGACACACTCAAACTGGTGCGCCTGGCACCTACTACCATACCCCGTTCAAAAGCACTTCAATCTTTTGTCTTGCCCATTCATCCTCTGAATCGCACACATACACAATCCATGTCTCAATTGTCTCAAGGCTTAAAAATCCTTCTTTAACCCCTCTCCTCCCCTTCATCTACTCTGATTGAAAATGCCAGGGCAAGTGGATTTAACAAGTGGATTTAACAAGTGACATCAATAAGGGATCATAGCTTTCACCTGGATTCACCTGGTCAGTCTGTCATGGAAAGAGCAGTTGTGTCTAATGTTTTGTACACCCAGTGTATTGAGAATTGAGAAATACAAATTATACCTACAGAAAGCTGAGACCCTCCTCTCTTCGACTGGGACAAGGGGAGGAGAGTGGCTCGCTCACCACAGCAGCACGCCCCAGCGAGGGCACAGGCACAGGGGCACGGCAGACACTTTCATTACAGGAATCATGTGGATAATGCACTTCACTGTTTGACCAAATCATGGTTTTAGCCGCCCCAAAATAGGATGTTTTGAGTGAGGTGACAATGTAGAATGTGCTCTTTCTAAGTTTATAGGCACCTTTTACATTTTTTACGGTCCATGATCTTGGCTGTCTAACTGATGACAGAGTTGGAGCAGGTCTCTTTCATGATGTTGCGTTTTACTTTGAATGTGAGTTTGTGCGACCTCAACTCAGCATATCAGAAAACCGGGCTGCCCATCTTGGTAAGGGGACCAGCCGTTGCCCACTGATCAGCCAAAGGATCATTATAGAGGAGTATAACAGAGAAATTGCACAAAAATAATCTTACCAGGCCCATGGGCCGCCGGCCATGTCACCTTTTTCATGGTTTTATTTTTATAGCATAGTTTATTTTTTTTGTATGTGTCAATTTCGACCAGCCCACCCAACAAAGAAATTGTCCAGCCCATCTGGCATTTGCCAGATGGGCAATCTACCCTTGCTCTTACCTGTACAGCTCACTCTCTCTCTTCATCAGCCACTTACAGTAATGTAGCAATGTAAAGGGTGCCTTGATGTGAATATGGCTTCCCAATTCTTATCTTTTTTTCACTAATTGGTCTTTTGACCAATCAGATCAGCTCTGAAAAAGATTTGATGTGATTGTAAAAATAAATGTAAAAAAAATAATTGGGCTGCCTGTCTAAACGCTGCCTATCGAGAACAACATCTATCTGGGTAAAGCCTGCCGGTATCATGCTTTATAACTTGTTATAATAAGCATGTACATGTATGAGCGTCAGCCTTTGTAATATATTATTAAATGTATTATAATTAAGGAGGTGTGTTATATGGCCAACATACCAGGCTAAGAGCTTACGCACGAAGCATGGCGGAGTGCCTGGATACAACCCTTAGCCATGGTATATTGGCCATATACCATATATATTGGCCATATACCACAAACCCCCGAGGTGCCTTATTTTTATTATTAATCTGGTTACCAACGTAATTAGACCAGTAAAAATATTTTTGGGGTCATACCCCTGGTATATGGTCTGATATACCACGACTTTCAGCCAATCAGCATTCAAGGCTCAAACCACCCAATTTCTAATAAGGCTTATAAAATGTTATGTCTCTATGTACAGTATCAACTTTTCAACATTTTCAAGATGTCTGGTAGGCTTTAAGTAGTAGGGTATAGTCAGGATAAGAGATTATTATAATACATTATAAACAGGACATACATGCTCGACAATACATTATAACCGCATCATAATGAATCTCTGCTTTGCCACAATAAACACCAATAAGAGTTGGATGAAACAAATACCTCCAGGTACAGTGGCTTGCGAAAGTATTCACCCCCCTTGACATTTTTCCTATTTTGTTGCCTTACAACCTGGAATTAAAATGGATTTTTGGGGGGTATCATTTGATTTACACAACATGCCCACCACTTTGAAGATGCAAAATATTGTTTTGGGTAAAACAAACAAGAAATAAGACAAAAAAACAGAGAACTTGAGCGTGCATAACTATTCACCCCCCCAAACTCAATACTTTCTAGAGCCACCTTTTGCAGCAATTACAGCTGCAAGTCTCTTGGGGTATGTCTCTAGAAGCTTGGCACATCTAGCCACTGGGATGTTTGCCCATTCTTCAGGGCAAAACTGCTCCAGCTCCTTCAAGTTGGATAGGTTCCACTGGTGTACAGCAATCTTTAAGTCATACCACAGATTCTCAATTGGATTGAGGTCTGGGCTTTGACTAGGCCATTCTAAGACATTTAAATGTTTCCCCTTAAACCACTCAAGTGTTGCTTTAGCAGTATTCTTAGGGTCATTGTCCTGCTGGAAGGTGAACCTCCATCCCAGTCTCAAATCTCTGGAAGACTGAAACAGGTTTCCCTCAAGAATTTCCCTGTATTTAGCGCCATCCATCATTTCCTTCAATTCTGACCAGTTTCCCAGTCCCTGCCGATGGAAAACATCCCCACAGCATGATGCTGCCACCACCATGCTTCACTGTGGGGATGGTGTTCTCGGGGTGATGAGAGGTTTTGGGTTTGCGCCAGACATAGTGTTTTCCTAGATGGCCAAAAAGCTCAATTTTAGTCTCACCTGACCAGAGTACCTTCTTCCATATGTTTGGGGAAAAGTGGTCCTATGGACAGATACTCCAATCCCCGCTGTGGAGCTTTGCAGCTCCTTCAGGATTATCTTTGGTCTCTTTGTTGCCTCCTTGCCTGGTCCGTGAGTTTTGGTGGGCGGCCCTCTCTTGGCAGGTTTGTTGTGGTGCCAAAATCTTTCCTTTTTTAAATAATGGATTTAATGGTGCTCCGTGGGATGTTCAAAGTTTCTGATATGTTTTTATAACCCAACCCTGATATGTACTTCTCCACAACTTTGTCCCTGACCTGTTTGGAGAGCTCCTTGATCTTCATGATGCTGCTTGTTTGGTGGTGCCCCTTGCTTAGTGGTGTTGCAGACTTTGGGGCCTTTCAGAACAGGTGTATATATACTGAGATCATGTGACACTTAGATTGCACACAGGTGGACTTTATTTAACTAATAATGTGACTTCTGAAGGTAATTGGTTGCACCAGATCTTATTTAGGGGCTTCATAGCAAAGGTGGTGAATGCAAAGGTGGTGCACGCACCACTTTTCCGTTATTTATTTTTTAGAATTTCTTTGAAACAAGTTAATTTTTTCATTTCACTTCACCAATTTGGACTATTTTGTATATGTCCATTACATGAAATCCAAATAAAAATCCATTGAAATTACAGGTTGTAATGCAACAAAATAGAAAAAACGCCAAGAGGGATGAATACTTTTGCAAGGCACTGTAAATAACAAATCTTGACAATGTAATCATTATCAAGACAATCCCAACTCGTGATATGATACAATGTAACACCAACTTTGCCGGTGTTTAGTGACGCTATTAGTGGTCACATGACTGCGAACCAATCGTATAATCGAAGATGTCTTTACTTAGTTAGAGGGCACAGTGATAGAATTTGAATCACTAGATATATTTGGGTAGATTTACTGACTGTCGCCATTGTCTGTCGTCTTGTGCTGAAGGGAAGATGAAGGTTATTATTCTGTTCACACTTTTGAACATCTGGTCAAATGTAGATTGCAAGTCTTGCTCATATTCTCCATCGCAGTGGTGTACCTCTTTGGCCTCGGCCATCGAATGTGGGGTAAGATAAGTTCACTTGACGAGTTTCTTGTCGTAATTAAATGTATGCAATATTTTGGTAACACACTGACTTAAACTGTGTGTTGTGGTTGTATCGCTGTAATTGGGTTACACGTTACAACGGGTGAGAACGTTGTTGGGCGAAAGTGTCCCGAGGATATCTTCGTAGCCTATGTCTGTGTTTTGTTTTTGTGTGTTTTGATTGGTCAGGGGTAAATTATCTCCGATCACAACTGAGGAAGCAACTGGGCAATTCCTTGGTTACGGAATTATGCCAAGAGTTTTCACTTTAAAATACTAAACAAAAACCATTGATTTCAAAGTTTAACAAACCATACAACTTTTATGCACAATGACTCCTAACAATTTCCACAGAACATTTTACAAAAACACATTTACAGGAATAACTGTGCAGATAAAGTTTGGTAACAGAATAAAACTGTATCTTGTTCAAAGTATTAATTGTGCATAGAGTTGTATGGTTTTGTTAAACTTTGAAATCAATGGTTTTTGATTGGCATACATTTTAAAGTGAAAATTCAGAGTCTCAGCATAATTCCGTTACTGTGCCCAATTCTTACTTCAATAGAAGAGAATGACAAATGTGAAAAATAATATTAAAATAGAACATCAACACCCATAATTGTCTCTACAGATTCTGCTTCACATATCATATCTATACCATATTTAGGCATAACAATTCAACCATACTGTGTGTGTGTGTTTGTTAACTTGTGTGGCTTTACTGTAAAGGGAACAAAAATACACGGCACAAGAAACAGGTTCTCAGTCGAGTCTTTACTTTTATTGTGGCAGGTTCTGAAGCAGTGCCTGGAAGCCAATGCCACCAAGCCCAACACGCTGGGGCAGTCAGTTCAGGTGGAGCTGTATCTTGAGAGTCTGTGCCCAGCATGTCGCTTCTTCCTCACCTCACAGCTCTTCCCCACATGGACCATGCTGCAGGACGCCATAAGTGTCACACTGGTGCCCTACGGAAATGCACAAGTACGTACACTAGGCTAGAGACAACAACTCTCATCTCATGACTCTTGCTTTGATATTGGATATTACTTGGATGTTGTTATCAGTGAATGGAGTTGAGGAATGTTTAGTCAAAGTAATTTCTGTTTGTCTTACTACAGGAATCTTTTGATGGGAAGAAGTATCAGTTCACCTGCCAGCATGGCGAAGAAGAGTGTCTTGGCAACATGATCCAGGTGAGATTTTGGTAATGCTTTATTTTACATTCTACCAGGTAGTTATTTATTACTTATTAGAACAGTAATTACAGTTGAAGTCGGAGGTTTGCATACACTTTGGTTGCAGTCATTAACCCGTTTTTCAACCACTCCACAAATTTCTTGTTAACAAACTATAGTTTTGGCAAGTCGGTTAGGACATCTACTTTGTGCATGACACAAGTAATGTTTCCAACAATTGTTTATAATTCACTGTATCACAATTCCAGTGGGTCAGAAGTTTACATACACTAAGTTGACTGTGCCTTTAAACAGCTTGGAGAATTCCAGAAAATTATGTAATGGCTTTAGAAGCTTCTGATAGGCTAATTGACATAATTTGAGTCAAGGCCTACATTCAAACTCAGTGCCTCTTTGCTTGACATCTTTGTAAAATCTAAAGAAATCAGCCAAGACCTCAGAAAAAAGATTGTAGACCTCCACAAGTCTGGTTCATCCTTGGGAGAAATTTCCAAACACCTGAAGGTACCACGTTCATCTGTACAAACATTAGTACGCAAGTATAAACACCATGGGACCACGCAGCCGTCATACCGCTCAGGAAGGAGACGCGTTCTGTCTCCTAGAGATGAACGTACTTTGGTGTGAAAAGTGCAAATCAATCCCAGAACAACAGCAAAGGACCTTGTGAAGATGCTGGAGGAAACAGGTACAAAAGTATCTATATCCACAGTAAAACGAGTCCTATATCGACATAACCTGAAAGGCCGCTCAGCAAAGAAGAAGCCACTGCTCCAAAACCGCCATTAAAAAAGCCAGACTACAGTTTGCAACTGCACATGGGGACAAAGATCGTACTTTTTGGAGAAATGTCCTCTGGTCTGATTAAACAAAAATAGAACTGTTTGGCCATAATGACCATCGTTATGTTTGGAGGAAAAATGGGGTTGCTTGCAAGCCGAAGAACACCATCCCAACCGTGAAGCACGGGGGTGGCAGCATCATGCTGTGGGGGTGCTTTGCTTCAGGAGGGACTGGTGCACTTCACAAAATAGATGGCATCATGAGGAAGGAAAATTATGTGGATATATTGAAGCAACATATCAAGACATCAGTGTTATGACTTTTGATACAAGATTCTTAATGTTGGTAAACTCCTAAGCTGCATGTAGGAGAGAGGACAAGGACACGCCATGTGTTATAGAGGTCACTGGTGAGGGACAGAAGGTCTGCGTGCCAAGATAGATTGGGGACCACTTGTGATAATCTTAGAAGGTGTACGTGAGGGAATAGCCTGGCTAGGGTGATCAATACCAAGTATGGGGATGCTATTGTGGTAGATGAGTGACACTCAATGATGGTTGGCAGATGTTGGAAGAAGCAGCTCGGAGAGCATTATATAAACTGAGAGATCTCGTATGGAAGTCATTTATATGATGAGAGGCTACGTCCGTACCGCCTGTCATTAAATCCATTATTGTAACCATTAAATAATGTCTGAATTAACTCTCCATCTGTGTCCCCTACTCTCTTGCATCATGAACTTCTCGATACCAGAAACTCATCATAACAGTCAGTCAGGAAGTTAAAGCTTGGTCGCAAATGGGTCTTCCAAATGGACAACCCCAAGCATACTTCCAAAGTTGTGGCAAAATGGCTTAAAGACAACAAAGTCAAAGTATTGGAGTGGCCATCACAAAGCCCTGACCTCAATCCTATAGAAAATGTGTGGGCAGAACTGAAAAAGCGTGTGCGAGCAAGGAGGCCTACAAAACTGACTCAGTTACACCAGCTCTGTCAGGAGGAATGGGCCAAAATTCACCCAACTTATTGTGGGAAGCTTGTGGAAGGCTACCCAAAACGTTTGACCCAAGTTAAAGGTGATGCCACCAAATACTAATTGAGTGTATGTAAACTTCTGACCCACTGGGAATGTGATGAAAGAAATAAAAGCTGAAATAAATCATTCGCTCTACTATTATTCTGACATTTAACATTCTTAAAATAAAGTGGTGATCCTAACTGACCTAAGACGGGGAATTTTTACTAGGACTATATGTCAGGAATTGTGAAAAACTGAGTTTAAATGTATTTGGCTAAGGTGTATGTAAAATTCAGACTTTAACTGTACCTACTAATTGCTTAGCAATTGCATTCATTGACACGTCACTAAAGTACCAGAAAGTATTCATTGTCACCATATAGTTTCTTAGTTACTACCATGTATGCACTCACTAACTGTAAGTTGCTCTGGATAAGAGCATCTGCTAAATGACTAAAATGTAAATACCAGGTAATACCAGCTTAAACTGGGCTGAAACATTATGCTTTTTTTCCCTCTCGCTCTCCTCAGACCTGCATATTGAATGCTACAGGAAGTAACGCGTTCCAGATAATCTACTGCATGGAGGCCTCCACTGATGTGGTTAAAGCAGGCGAGAAGGTGAATGACATACACAAAAAAAAAATGTATGCTCCCGAGTGGCGCAGTGGTCTAAGGCCACCAGAGATCCTGGTTCGAATCCAGGCTCTGTCGCAGCCGGCCACGACCGGGAGACCCATGGGGCGGCGCACAATTGGCCCAGCATCGTCCAGGGTAGGGGAGGGAATGGCCGGCAGGGATGTAGCTCAGTTGGTAGAGTATGGCGTTTGCAATGCCAGGGTTGTGGGTTCGATTCCCATGGGGGGCCAGTATGAAAAAAATGATGTATGTACTCACTAACTGTAAGTCGCTTTGGATAAAAGCGTCTGCTAAATGGCTTATTATTATTATTATTATTATTATTATTATATTAACTCTTACTGAATTAGAGGTTGATGCCTCTGGAATTTATACACTAAGTAGGTGAAGTTATGGAGATTGTACTCCTATAAGAGAGACGGTGAGAGAGACAGTTCCTCAGTTTAGGGTTCTTTAATGTTGATTGGAGATTAACAATGTTTCAATTCTGTGCCATGTCACTCAGCTTGGATTTTCCAATTAACTGACCATTTATCCATAGAAGATGTGGTCTGGAAATAAACATTAATACAATGGCATCAATACTAAGATAAAGCACATTCATTTAGCAATAACAAAACAAGATATACAGCTCTCATCTGTTATAATAATCCAATGACTGAAACGAAAATACAAGTAGCTAGCAACATCAGACTAACCAGCTAACAATGCCAGGTGAAAATGTAGCTAACAATGTTAGATACACTACCGTTCAAAAGTTTGGGGTCACTTAGAAATGTCCTTGTTTTCGAAAGAAAACCATTTTTTTTGTCTATTTTAAAATAACATCAAATTGATCCGAAATACAGTGTAGACATTGTTAATGTTGTAAATGGCTATTGTAGCTGGAAACGGCTGATTTTTAATGGAATATCTACATAGGCGTACAGAGGCCCATTATCAGCAACCATCAGTCCTGTGTTCCAATGGCACGTTGTGTTTGCTAATCCAAGTTTATCATTTTAAAAGGATAATTAGAAAACCCTTTCGCAATTATGTTAGCACAGCTGAAAACTGAGTATCTGGAGCATCAGCAATTGTGGGTTCAATTACATTCTCAAAATGTCCGGAAACAAATAACTTTCTTCTGAAACTCGTCATTCTATTTTTGTTCTGAGAAATGAAGGTTATTCCATGCGAGAAATTCCCAAGAAACTGAATATCTCGTACAATGCTGTGTACTACTCCCTTCACAGAACAGTGCAAACTGGCTCTAACCAGAATAGAAAGAGGAGTGGGAGGCCCCGATGCACAACTGAGCAAGAGGACAAATACATTACAGTGTCTAGTTTGCGAAACAGACGCCTCACAGGTCCTCAACTGGCAGCTTCATTAAATAGTACCCGCAAAACACCAGTCTCAATGTCAACAGTGAAGAGGCGACTCTGGGATGCTGACCTTCTAGGCAGAGTTGCAAAGAAAAAGCCATATCAGACTGGCCAATAAAAATAAAAGATTAAGATGGGCAGACTGACGCGTTTCAGAAGAAAGTTATTTGTTTCTGGCCATTTTGAGCCTGTAATCGAACCCACAATTGCTGATGCTCCAGATACTCAACTAGTCTCAAGAAGGCCCTTTTTATTGCTTCTTTAATCAGCACAACAGTTTTCAGCTGTGTTAACATAATTGCAAAAGGTTTTGCTAAAAAAATGCTTTTCTTTTAGAAAACAAGGACATTTCTAAGTGACCCCAAACTTTTGAACGGTAGTGTAGCTAGCATAAAAACGAGATGCATAATGCTGTAATAATGACAAATATTATTAAACTATTGACAACTTCGTCAGTAAAACGGTGAAAACATATACCTTACTTACAGTTTTGGTATTCACGCACAGTGATTAATAAATTGGTCAGAAAGGAAATAATGTCCAAAACTGAGATTTGTATTCACAGCAATAGGTGGCGCTTGGTAATGAAGTAAACACTCTGATAGCTGTGACATCATCACTGAGTTCTTAAAGGGACAAGCTTTCTTACACTTACCTTCTCTCTCTACACAAAACCATGAAAAGAACCTACCTCAATATACAGCACTCCCTATTTCTATTCAAATACCCTTGAGAAATACGAACAAAAAGTTATAGAATGGAATTACTTTTTGTGCTTGATGATACTTGATGATATTCTCTGCTCACATACAGTGAGGGAAAAAAGTATTTGATCCCCTGCTGATTTTGTACGTTTGCCCACTGACAAAGAAATGATCAGTCTATAATTTTAATGGGAGGTTTATTTGACCAGTGAGAGACAGAATAACAACAACAAAATCCAGAAAAACGCATGTCAAAAATTTTATAAATTGATTTGCATTTTAATGAGGGAAGTAAGTATTTGACCCCCTCTCAATCAGAAAGATTTCTGGCTCCCAGGTGTCTTTTATACAGGTAGCGAGCTGAGATTAGGAGCACACTCTTAAAGGGAGTGCTCCTAATCTCAGCTTGTTACCTGTATAAAAGACACCTGTCCACAGAAGCAATCAATCAATCAGATTCCAAACTCTCCACCGTGGCCAAGACCAAAGAGCTCTCCAAGG